CAAACATTAAGTCTTGGAAGACGACTACATTGTGGGATCTTAGGTGCATTTTTCAAAGCAACGTTATTTATAAGAGACATCTTACCGAAAACAGTTCAAAAACACTGCTACTAATGCCTGCCTCATTTATATGACAAGTATACAGGGAGGAAGATCAAAGGCAACAAGCTTTTTTAAGATGGAACTGTTGTGGCCCGAGTGCCGTATCCCACTTGACTCACGGTGAACTGACTGTTACATAAGTCTGTAATCCAGCCGTGCCATTTCTCTCCCCTCCCTCTCCTCCAACTGTCATAATCGTTATTCTCATTTTGTCAACATTTTAATACAAACATTACACTGTTTCATATACATTAAATCAGGAAGTATTCATATTGTAAATCAGTTTATTGACTATAGGTTTGCAATTAAAGTTTTTATCAAAATGGAGATTCAGTAATTTTTAAAGGGCCCATATTACACCATGTTCTGATCTATGTCATAATGTTGTTTCCTCATCAAAACCAAACCTGAAGTTGGATTATGTTTCATTCACACACATTTAACACATTTTGAGTTCTCCACTGTGTTTTTAAAGATCATATACCTTCACTAGGATCATTTGCATAATTTCAGTCCTGGAATGTCCAATCTCTACTGAACCAAATGCAAAAGGCAGTTGAAAACTAACGACAGACAAATAATAAAGAATTACTCAAACATGTGTGAATGAAACAAAACACAACTCCGGGTATGTTTTTGATGAGCTAACAACATTCTACCATGACTTAAAGCTCACAATTTTGCATAATGGTCAATGATAAGATTGGTTCTCTGTCATAGCCCTAATACTGAACGTGTTTTCTCCCTATAACAGCAGGCGAGGTCCAGCCACGGTGTGTTTTTGTCACCTACACACACTGCTTGTCCACTGAAGCCCCATCACAGGGGGGAGTGAGGACAGGAATAGATTGCCCTTAAACATTTGTAGCAGGAAGCACTAATGTGGCAAACAGTAAACCCGGAGATTGTTTAAACTGAAGCCAAACAGTTGTAAAGTTGCTGGAACCCTCTCTAAAGCTCTTCAGCACGCACGGCACGCTTCACATCAAAAATGCCCTGCTATCTTTTATCTATTGAGATTAAGTAAGTATAACAGCTATACATTTGCAGATAAGTGGAATGTGAGGTGCAGGGTCAAGGGGGGACAAGGAGAGAGGAAGCCAGGGCATGGTACAGCAATGATGGCTATGCACATGGCAATTGAAATAACAAGTGGCTACTTAGAGGGAGCAAAATGTGAACTGGTTAGCATTTCAAAGCACTATTTTAAATCAACACGGGCGCCATATGTTAAGATGATACTGAGCTTTGCCAGTTTAACAGTTTGAGTGACACGAGAAATGTGGAGGGCAGTTGTAACTTTATGGTAACAGGAAACTACGTGTACAGCAATACTGTCTGACAGTCTGACAAGTAGGGGTGTGCAAAAATATCAAAATATCATTATATCGTATCGTTTAATGTGATGATACAGTATTGATATCGTGGGCTGCTGCATTGATATATCCCCAAGAGCATTTTTTGGTATATTTTACTGAATTATTTTGTTACAGCGCTGCAGTTTTGTTGTTTGTTTGGAAGGAAACTTGTTTATGCAACACATTTAACATATTCACTGTTTTGAGAATTAAAATGTGCATGTTTCATATGAACTTTGCACAAGACGTGGTTTAACAAAGACCTTTAGTATCACAGTCATGATTTAGCCGTTAATTTTGTTGAACCGTATCGAATCGATTTGAAATATATTGTATCAAAATTGAAAGTGCACTGTATCAAAATATGTACTGTATCATGGCCTATGTATCGAGGTATGTATCGTATCGGCAGCTTCTTAATGATACCCAGCCCTACTGACAAGTATTAAAAATAAATAATGGTACTGAATTATATAAGGATGGGCATTTTAATGTCTTATTAAAAACAAATTAAATGGCTTATAATTTCCTGAACATATACAATACTTTTGATCACTGCTGTTTAGTACAAGTTTCTAAACTATGCTCCACATGCTTTACTGACTGTAGACCACTTGATTAAAAAAATAATAATAAAAAAATAAGATGATCATTGACGATTGTAAATAATCTATTAATTGCAGACTTACAGGGATGCACTGATCCAGCTTTTTCAGTTCAGATACATATTCTGAGACTTTATGGGCCAGCAACGAACATCTTATTACATCCATTTATATGTCCAACCAGGATATCTAGTGTTTTACATACATAATCAGCAAATGAAACCACAATAATATAGATCATTGTTCAGTCACTGCCCACACTTGGTGGTGGTGGCAACTTACTTCAGTGGCCACAACTGCCCAGAGGCAAACTGAAAAACACACACAAGTTCTTTTATACCAGACCAAGTTTGGACATAATTTTTTCATATAGTTATTATTAGATGGTTGTCATGTTGCTAGTTTTTTTTATATTACAGTGAAGTCAAAGCTATTTCTGAAAAAATGACAGAAGGTCCAAAGCCTACTTGAGATCTCACGCTGGCACTATTATTAGACAGAAGAGGGACCAGGAGAGGGGCCTAGATACAGTGGGCGTACACACACATGCACGCTCCACTCACACGTGCGCTGCTCTATACGGTAAACAAGAGAGTGGGGAGTCTTTAAAGTCAGCAAGTTATTAAAAGAAAGGTACAAAACAGATTTAAGTTATATTACATAATACCAAACCCCCATTTAAACATTCACTCTGCAAAATACCATGGCGCAGGACTTTTTACTGAAACTACTATTTCTGGAAGTATTTGTTCAGGAACGAATGTAGAGTGTAGGCTCAAAAAAGAACCGGGATTTGTATCTTGACTATACAAAATGTCACACAGATAGATCACAAATATGTGTTTGAGAGTGAAAACTGGTTTCTAGGCCTGCCACAATTAATACTATATTGATTTATAGTTCAGTATATGTAATATTCTTTCCACTACTGGGAAATACATACTTATTTTTTTGGCTATATGATCAGATTTGATTTGAGCTGTAGAAAGTTGAATGAATCACTTCTATGACTCATTAAAAATACAAACTAGCTACTAAAGTAAATCTGCTCTTGGGTTATTGTGTCATAATTTGTGTCATAAATTAGTTTTAATATTATCAGTTCTCGTCTATATTTTCTTCAGCAATATATCATGTTTCCAAATTTGTTATCGTGACTAGCAAACCGATTTCATCATAAATGGGGCCAATAAGGTTCTTCGCACAGTATTTGTTTTGTCTTTAGTCCCTGGACTAAATGCAAAGTCTGGCTAAAACAGCTGCTCTCCCCTTGGCTAAGGACATCACACCTAACCACCATTTAATATCATGTTCTAACTGCAGTCATCTCTGACCCTCAAAGTAAATGGAGTTCTGTGGTTGTTCAGGACGACCACTTGTGAGCTTTGTATGATGTTATATTCGTCCTTCTCAAAATCGTTACAAGAGCAGCTACTGAGAACATGGCGAGGTTAATGGGGGCTACACAGACAACCAAGTGTACATCACCCATCCATCCGATTCCCAATCAATATCCAGATAATTGAATTAATGATTAATCCCTTGCGTACTTAATCATGCTGCAAAGCTGGACGCGGAGGGAGAAGGCCGGACAGGAAGGGGAGAGATGAGGGGTGTGTTGAATGACCGTCCTGCCTCAGTCGTAGATCTGATTTCCCCTGATATTAGTACTGCCAGAGCATTCGTCAAAGTCCTCGTGCACAGTCTGCTGCACACACACACATACACACACTAACAATTGTAAAATATACAGAAATAGCATGTAGTTATCGGGTGCCACATGAGCCTGTTTTGAGGTCATCCAGGGGGTCCCAGGCTGTAGCAGATGTGATGGTGCTCCAGACTCTGATGAGGGTTGTCAATGCTGGTTCCAATAAGACACTTTTTCAGCCTAATTCAACCGCCCACCAACCAGCTGCTTCCTATCCTGGCAGATCATCAAAGTCAGCCCATTTGGACCATGGTTTCACTTCTGTAACAGGGCCATGCAATGAAACTTCAAACTCACTTTTAAAACTTACCAATTGTTATTACTGTACTACATGACATAAAATGAGTCATTATTTTACCAAAAACTATTTAAAGGGCCCATATTAAACTATTTTCTGATCTATGTTATAATGTCATGTCTTTATCAAAAACATACCTGCACTTGTGTTTGTTTCATTCACACATTTAACACACAGATCTTGCATATTTAGGATGAATTCTTCTCTCAAACTGAAAACACTTTCTTCCACCTTGTGATGTCATGCGGTAATACAGCAAGCGCTCCACTCTGTTTTTAAACTCCATACAACTTCATTAGAATCATCTGGATAATTTCAGCTCTGGACTTGCCAAATTTTACTGCACTAAAGGTCAAAGATAACATAAGTTAACATGAAAAATACCACTACATGACATCACATGGTGGAACAGAGCATTTTGAGCTTTTGGGATGTAGACAGACTAATAATCAAAGGTTACTAAAACATGTGTGAGTGAAACAAAAGCTCACAGGAGTCAATTTTGCATAATAATAATAATAACAGCCTTTAAATATCAATGTAAGTTTAGCTGAACCAGTGCAACTTTCTGAAGACAGAGGCAGTCTATGGAGATGTCCAAAGAGAATCCTGTGCCACGGTAGTTTACTATGTATTTGCGTTGAGGCCTACAAAAACAACCTAAGTGGGACAGCCAAGTTCATCTCTATGCTACACATTCGCTACCCATCAGGCCATGTGTAGCCACTGGCAAATTCCCCATTCAACTCCACAATAACATTGCAAAGCCTATAGTCAGTGCCAATTCAAAGCATTGATGTAATCACAATAACCAAATGAGTACAGCCAGAGCATGCCCTAATTTTTCAAACCCAATAAAGCAAGAAGTAAGAAATCGTATTACTATGAGGTAAGAGCTACAGTTGTGTTGACAGACGGGCCCTTACGTATCTGGTGATGATATTCCGTAGACGGCTGAAATCCATCCTCACGACGGTGGCGACAAACCGTGCGCCAGAGACGTTCAAACTCTCCGCAGGTGTGCGTAAACGCTACCTAACATGGACTTTTACGCGAGTATCCATGGCTCCACCACCACTGCCGCTGCCGTGTCCGTGAAAGCGAGGAGTAGTAGCAGTCTCTCTCAGTCAGTCAGTCGCCTCTACTGATTTTCATGGCATCCCTGCGAGGAGCCGTGAAGCGACACACAGCCAGCCCAGCACAACGCGGACTCGGGTCGCTGGCTACATTTCAGAAGCTCCCTCACCACGAGTCGAACCGCGTTACCGTATTGTGTGTTGAATCGCTTCTCCACGTGGCCTGTAAGTTTTTATTGTGGCTTAAAACGGTCCCTCATGGTGTATGTGTTGAAGCGGTGGCCCTCGGTGAAAGCGGCGAACGTCCACACACTGCGCGCAACCGGAGACGTCGACCGCAGTACGCATGCGCACATTTTCTATGGTCTGATTTGGTTTCTGCTCCATTGGCGCCTTCAGAAAGCTCACTATATAAGAAGCACAACACTACCCCGCTGTCAGATATACTATGATGGTACTTGATGAGCACATAAAGCGGCATGCGTGTGTAATAACCAGGAAATAACGAAAGCTCTTAGGCTGTACTGAATCATGTGTATTTATTCTTAGTTTTCCTCACAATATCACTAATATCATTGTTATTTCATCCTTGTAATTGTCCACCAAATAGCCCATTTCATACTTGAGTTGCGATTGATCCAATTCCAAGTATTTAATCACCTTTATATCCTAGCTTTTATACATTAACACCTTAATACTGAGAGCAAAAAGGTTCCTTATTATACTCAAAATACAGGATTTCATTGTTCCGCGTTGACACAAGTGTTTAACAGACCTTTCAGTTGTACTAACATTTCCAATAGTGTACCGTATATTTAACCTTTAAGTATATTTAGACAGCGGTATTTGACATGTTCTAAATGTCAGACCCCTCAGCACTACACTATGCACACACCCACAGCCCCAGCCAGTCATGTGATCTGACTGAATCCTCGCATCTGTTCCGTACACAGCCTGTTTATGCAGAATAAATCAGCTATCAGATGGATATTACATAACTGCACTAAATCTCTCAGAATCCTATATCAAAGTGCAGATATTACAAACTTAATCAGCCGTAACTAAACACAACAATTAATTTGAAATACTAATAATACTAATAATACTATTACTAATACTAATACTAATACTTTTTAAACCATTTCTCAGGGGAATAAGAGTGTGGTTATCTTTAGCCTAGACATTTCATTTGTGGACATATGGCATTCAATTAGCGGAGACTATTAATAATAGATGGGGATGAAGCACTTTCAGACCTGACTTGCTAATGCATAGAGGGGCTGTTTACGTCTCAGCACTATTCTGTTTGCACTATAGTGGTTAAGACAGAGGGCTTTAGGAGAGACATCACATTATTTTAACCCTAGAGGAAAATAAACTATTGTTGACAGATGGTAGTTGAACTGGCCAGTCCTGAATGTGTTGCAAAGGTGGATGTTTTTCTGCTCGCGATTATAGTTGAATGGTTAAAGCTGTGGAAGAACTGGGTCATTGTTGACAGCCTCCTTCTGTTTCAGTGTGGGTGAGGGCAGCCGCATATGGGCCACACACTTTTGTTTTCTCACAGTGCCTTTTTGATCCAATTGCTTTGAGCATCTTGGATATTAGGAAACAAGTTATTTTCAAACATATTTATATAACTACATCAAATCCAGTGTGCACTCTAGTTGCTCCTTCATGAAACAGCAAAATATACACTAACACTTACAGTATATACACTATCTTATATCTGTAATCACTTAGAAAAATAGAGGAATAGCTTTTACTCTTACACTAATTTCTGTTGATGCTCTATTTACAGATTACTGAGAACATAGAAGAGCTATAGCCAAACTTTAAAAAAGTAATATGTAATGAAACACACTATTTCGACGATTTCCAAAATAAACCATTGGGGGTTGTTTTTTGTTGTTAACCATCATTTGGTTGTGTTTTTTTTAAGATAAACTTGGTGCAGTTGCTGTCCTCTCTCATTAAGGATCTGAAAGGCAATTTGCTTAGCAGCATGTTCCACAGAGTAGTAGCTTGTTTTACTGCATCTGGCTCATGTTTTGTGTATTTATCGCAGCTCCTGTTGCAGAGTGAGTAGCTGACTGTGTACTATTGTCAGCACAAACACTGGATCCTATTGTGCTGCACATGTGCATTCTCAATGTATCAACTGACCACAGCAGGGACAGAATTAGTCTGTGTGAGATAGCTACAAGGAGCTGACATCATGGCCTTTAAAATATGGTCTTTATTTAGTGTAAAGTATACCCAAAATGTCTGTGACTGCAACTTCTTACACTGCTTCTTTTTCATTTAGTGCACCTACCCATGGTAATACTGAGGCTAGTACCTGCTGTTATTATAATTATTACAGTTACAGTTTGCATACTAGAATACAATTGTTCCAGGATGTCTAGGTGTGCAAACTCATTTGTAGCTGTACAAGTGTTTACACACTTATATTTAGTATACAGACCTGAGAGCTTTATTGGTGCACTCTAACTTTTCTGGTGGACAGTCACCTGCTTCTCTTCATGGCTATGGCTTTGCCTCTATGGTCCATATTGCATAAAACATCTATTCAGACAAGCGTGCGGTTACAGGTCAGGTTTGTGGATACTATAACCTGTTTAGTGTAGAATACAATTTTTTCAAGCAATGAATACCTCAGAAACAGAATAAATTAAAAATAACTTTAATGTGGACCATTCCGGTGAAATAATATTATCTCTATGGAAGTAGAAAAGCAGGTGGGGCCTCCTACCAAGAAAGTTACATAATGCACCTTTAAGTGCATTTGTCTATTCATATAATACAGGACAGTTGTATAACAAGTTGAATTAAATAAAATATGCCAGATTATTGCAAACAAACTCCCTCTGTTGTCCCTAGACAGGAAACACAGCATACAATTACAAAACATTACAAAATAAACTGTTAAAAGTGCTCACAGACTTGATTTTCCTTCACCCACTGTTTAAGGCAGGCTGCAATTAGAAAGTGGACATTGGACATATTATTATTATTATTATTATTATTATTATTATTATTATTATTATTATTATTATTATTATTTGTATTTGTGCAAACGTGATTCACTCATATTTGTTAAGTGAAAAAAGAAAGAAAAAAGGAAACCATGTTGCTGCCACTTGCACATTTACACAGCTTCTTATAAACTATTACAAGCAGCCACCAATCACCAACACTAAGACAGAGGACATTAAATCTGCTATACATTTTTGTTTAGAGGATTTACACAAGTAGAAGTCTCCAATTCTTTGAGGAGATGCCTTTTTACAAACTGGATCGAAGGCAGGGACCTGAAGAAGGACTATGATGCCATCTAGTGTTGAGTATGGAGAAACACAACATAAGTTTGCTGAAAGCACGTAGTTATTTCAGCTCAGCGCTGTTGGTGTAGATTCAGGTAATTTGGAAGCTAATTAATTGCTTTGATTAGTTTTAATTGGAGGGCTACTGCAGTATGAGTTTACCCTCTATCACGGCAAAACAAACGTAACAGAAGGCACCAATTAGGCCTATAGTGTTTAGTCTACTGTTAATTAGGCCTATTAATTATAGCAAGACGATTCAACAGCTATATTCGACTGATTTGTTGTTACTTGAGTGAACTTGTTTTGGAGTGTGTAAACTCACATTGATGGTGTGTTTTTGCGCTACAGGTGCGCGAGCTCCTCGGCCCACGCCAACGGTGACAGCGGCGGCGCCGAGGTGCACGTTGGGAGTAAGCAGCGAACGTACCCCAGGACGCCGGTACCTATATGCGTAAATATAATAGGTGTGTTTTTCTCGTCTCTGGTGCGAGTGTGCGTCACATGTCTCTTTTCACCGTGCCCACCGCGCCTGCCAAGAGAAGGGCTTAAACCTGCGTCTGGAGATGGGGAGCTGTGGAGATCCCAGGGAACGTATGCTTGGCACCGTGAAATAGGATTTGGGAAGGGGCCGAAGCAATGAAGCGAGAGGCAGAAGAGCAACTGCCAAGTCCTCTCTACGGATTTGGTGCCCCCCTCCTCACCCCATAAACATATTCATATGTGTAGACGGGGCGGAAAAGTGAGAGGATTGTGGATAGGAAGGCAAAGAAAAGGGAAAAGTATTATGGTGAGAACGGTATTTGGAGTAGTGACAGTGAAGTCTGAGGCATTGACCTGAACATGTGTCAAACTTAAACAGTTGTGTAATTCAGGTGAAAAAGTATGGCGCCTACACAAGCTTATATATGAGAGGTTTATTCCAGGTAAAATAAAATACGGCAGAGTAAATACAAGGACAATACAAGGACATCAGGTCAGCACACACATACAAATAACATCACAAAACAAAATACAATCTTAAATGTACAATCTCACAGACATCTTAACAAAATTTTAGTAAAAACGTCCCTCTGAGTGGATATGAGGAAGAGAGTGAGGAAGAATAGTTCAAGTACTGGGTAACAATGAAAATGTATTTTGAGGGTTTGGTGCTTAAAGAGCTGTTGGAAAAATGAAAAAGTGAAATATACAAATGTCTTTGTACCATTTGAGTTAGAGACAGTCATACCCCAACAGACTGAGAAGGCTTATAAAAGTATCACCAATAGGCTGTTAAGTTTAACTGTAAAAAATGCAAAGACAAAAGATAAAGAATAAATTAAGCTCAAAAGCTATGTTCAAAAAATATAATTATTGGTTTAGAATATCTGACTAGTGTTAAGCATCAATAAAAGATAACATTCAAATTGATGTGATGACATGACATTTTAATGCAGGAATTAATTAAATACCAATTATGACCAAATGATACTGATGTTATAGATTGCTTTGAAATTAACTATTGACTATAGCATATGCTTACCAGTATGCGAAGGAACAAAATATGCAAACACAAGTGTTTCTAAATTTGTAAACTAGTCACAACAGACATTAATTTATACAAAAAAATAATCTAGAAGTTTACAGCTGTAAAATGAAAAATAAATAAATAAATAAATATGAACTTGAAACCTTTAACTTCACCCCTGTGCCATACATGTGCCCTATGCAAATTCTCGCTCAAATGATTTCTTCCTCCCCCTTTTCTTACCTGGGTACAAAGGGAAGGACTTGTGCAATTTGGCCATTACTCATATTATTGGTGGTGGCTGCAAACCGAGCTTGGCTCCATTCCTCGGGGGTAATTGGAAACTGCAGGTGTGAGAGGGCACATTAGCATACACAAGCCTTGCACAGCATTCAGCCTGAGCCCTAATGGCAGCGTGAAAAATACATCTATCACGCTAATGCCCAAGAGATGGATGTGTACTTAAGTTGCGCTG